TGGTGGATGAACTGCCAGCTGCAATCTCTGTGCTCATGCAGGATGTAGGGTGCCAGAGAGGAAGGGATGCTCAGAACTCAGGGAAATGCAGGTCCCCTGGCAGGTGCTCGAGGTCAGGAAGGGTCTGGAACAGCCCTCCCCAGGCAGCGTCTCAGGGCCCCAGACTACTCCTGAATGATCGTATTAACTGTCAGGAACATATGGTCCTCGGACATCAGACCTGAAGTAGTATTTACTTCAGAGCAGAGGACACTGGGTTCCCGAGCGGGCTGGGTTTGGCATGCACGCAGTTACTGATTGATAGGCCTTTCAGGAAACAAAGACCACGAGAGGATTCAACATGCTCCTGGCTGTGGGCCAAGCCAGCCTCATCTTTGCTTGGTCAAGTGTGTCATTTTGTCTGCCTTCATCACTTGCCAGGTGCCTCTGTGTTCACTGCTAGGAGGAAGCGAGTGTATATTTGATTGTCTGTGTGTGTGTATGTACACCCAGCTGTCCCCGGTCAGGAGGGAGCACCAGAGTAACTAGCACTCCCTCACTTACTGCTTCCCCTTAAAACCCGCAGGTCCTTGATGTTTACACTGAAGCTTGGAATTTCTGTCTTGCATTTGTTTTTCTCAAAGTCAAGACCAGAGACAGATAAGGCCTTCCCAAGGTCACACAGCAGGCCCAGGACAAAGCTGGCTATGAGCTGAGCTGCAGGCAGATGTCCTGGGGCCACAGACTGCACCCAGGCTCAGAAGCTCCCCCCTCTTCTACCCTTCCCCTGCCCTGATCACCTGAGGAATTCCTCTCAGTGACAGCAAAGAAGCCCTCTGGGAAAGAGATAATGAGAATTTCTTGAGTAGGGAGCCAAGTATAGAGATCTAGAGACAATAGCAGCCTGAGGTGACAGGAGGCCTCCCGGGGTAAGGGGTCTGTGGGTGTCATTCACGGTCAGAGAGGGTGGCCCAGCGAGCCCTGAAAAGTAAATCTACCAAGTCAGGGCTGCCAGTCCCGGGTGTAGCTCATTCCAGTTCTTTCCAGGCATGAGGACCACCCACACCTGGGGGAGAGCCCTCACCCCATCTCCAGTTGCCATCTCCCTTGTCTTTCCAGAGTTAGAAGTAAGTTCAGGGCACCAAGGTTCAAAATTCCAAAGATTTCCTCTTAAGCCCTCAGTTGCTCAGTTACAAACAACACAAAGTATCCCTAGCCTGGCAGCTCCTCCTGCAGCCAGAGCCAGGCCAGGGGCACTGAGCCAGAGCCCAGGGCTTCTTCCAAAACTGGACACCCAAGCACTGGCCCAGTGCAGCCCAGGGTTCAGTGCTGTCCCCTCCATGCCCCAGACTGTGGCCGCTGCTGTGGCCCTGGCTCTGAGGCCCAGGCCAGATCCATCTTCCTAGCCAGCGACTCCCTGTCACAACAGGGCCAAGTGGCCATGGCATTTGCCTCTGATCTCCCCTGGCCAAGCGTTTGTAAGGCAGCCGGTAAAGAATGAAGAGCAGGCACTTGGCAAGGCCCAGATTTCCGCTCCCCCCCCCAACTGAGGCCCCTTCTGCTTACTTGCAGTTCAAGGCTCAGCTGCACGGGCCACAGGTCAAGAGGAAAGTAATTAATCTCCCTGCAGCAGCCCTGCTGCCCGGGAACAGGAGAGGGCCTGAAGGAAGACTCAACAGGCCCCTTCCTTGGCCCTTCTTCAGCACAGAAACTCCACCCACCCCACCCCTGTGTCTGGGAGCCTGCCCCTTTGGCTAGAGGTAGGACCACCAGAGATACTCAGGGTGGGGTCCGTGGGATGCCACCTCCTTGCTCCTTGAACCTGTGGGAGATCAACATTGCTGGGGTAGGGTGGGGATCCCCTAAGATCCCAAAGCACTTAGAAAAAGTGAAGGCCCCTGCCAGGGGTACCCTCGCTCTGGACAGATGGGCCTGTAGGAGCTAATGATCCTCTGATCAGTTCCTCTGATTGGAAAACCAAGTCCAGGGAGGAGACGCCTAGCCCCAGTACCAGCCAGAACTGAGAAATGACCTCCTGCTCCCCTACCCACTAGGCTCTCTCTGCCCTGCCTGAGTTCCTCATCTCTGGGCTAAGCAGGAGGTAGGTAGGTTCAGGCAGTGAGCACTTAAGCTTGGGATGGGACAGGCCTGGCTGCTGGGTCCGACCCTGAGCATCATGCCTAGCTCTTCCAGGCTCTGGATAATGCACAGCCAGGCCCACGCTGGCTCTGGCAAAGCCCTGTGACCCCATTGTCCAAGGCCCTCACCTTTGTGCCTTGGGCGCCCTGAAAGCACTTTTTCAGGAGGGCAGGTGAGACCACAGCTGGAGCAGGGCAGAGCTGTTCACCCCTCCCCTAGGCCGTGGGGAAGTTGAGAGTCCCTTGGACCCTCATCAGCTCCCCTTATCTGCTCTCCCCTTGCCCTACCTAGCTGTGCTCTCCAGAGAGGCTGGGACTTTTATCTCTGACTGCACATTAAGCTCCCTTGTGGAGGGTGACGACTGCCATTGCCCCTCCATCAGTCAGACCCTGCAGCTGGACTTGAGCTATGCAGGCAGCCAACCTCTCCCTTCCCACCCCACAGACGTCCCTGCCCTTCTCAGGGTCCTGCTCATGGCCCAGATTCACTCAATACTCCAGAATTAGAGGCTGCGTGGTTACCCGGGGCCAATCATGCGTGGTCTCTGTCTTTGGGGTGGAGTGAGGGCTCAAGACCCCAGAGCCAAGAATGCCCCCAGAGTGGTGCAAGTGCTGCCCCTGGGAGAGTGCAAGCAGAGAGAGAGAAGCTCAGGGACTTCAAGGAAAATGGGCATGGTGCCCACCCTTCAGGGCCCTCCTCCTGCAAAGGTCTGAGAGGCGGAGTTGAAACACTCAGCTAAAGGCATTGGGAACAGGAGGCACGCTCCCTCTGGTGGTCCCGAGGAGAACTGCACCCTAAGACCGAGTCTGTTTTTGTGCCGTTGTGTGGTTGAGAGTGGTCCACCCAGTCACCTCCCAGACTTAGTGGCTTTTTGTGACTCAATACCCGTCTGCAGTGCGGAAAATCCCAAAGTGAAGTGAAAGTTCAGCAACTCCCTTTTTGGAGAGGGAAGGGAAAATATTCACAAGAGTCCTGGCTAGGGAGCAGGTCACAGATCTCAGAATGTCACTGGAGCAGGGGCTTATCCTGGGCCCACCCCAAAGTTCAAATGCAATAGGTCTGGGTATCAGGCAGACCTGGTGAAGCCTCGGGAGGCAGGCTTGCCACAGGGCCAGAGGGGAAGTAGCTCATGCAGGGCTATGTCCTCTCTAGAGAGCAGCTGGTATTCCCCTCTGCATGGCAGACTTGATAGAACATTCTAGAATTATGACTCTGCTTCACTGTTTTTACTTCTGCCTTGAGTGGGCCACAGGCCTAGAATACCCCCTTTTCCTATCTGCCTGGATGCTACACCCAAGAGGTTTTGGGAGCCTCCCTCCTCCAGAAAGCCCCCGGCTGCATCTGTCCTATTCTTGGGCACTTCTCCCACCCTGTGTTTACCTGTTTCCTGCAGGGAAATACCAAGTCGTATTAGGGATCTGGCCCATCACATTTTACTTATTAGAAATGGACTGGCATTCAGAGTGGGGCATTGTGAGGATCATGGTGCTGAGCTGTGAACTGTCAGGCCTTCCCCTATGTGGGGAATGGCTCCTCTGGAGCTTCTCCCCCAATCCCAAGCCTTCTGGTTTCCCTCAGCTCTCCAAGCCCACGGGTGACCAGTGAGGAGTCCACCTCCTCGCCCTGCAAGTGTCAGTGTGGAGGGAGGAAGCCCACAATGGGAGCTGGAAACCTGGTTCTGGCCTGGGCTCTGGCCTGGGCTGACCATGTCACCCTGAACAAGTCAGTGCTTATCTTGAGGTCTCGGTTTCCCCTGTTGCAAAATGAAGCTTGTTCTGTGTTGCTCTCCAAGGAACCTTCACTGCTCAAGCCTTCTGTGATTCTGTGAGGGCTGGTGGTCTTTGGGGCCTGGGGGCAGTGGATTAACATAAAGAGCTTAATTCCCAAACAGAATGGTAGTCCACCCTGTTCATTCTGAACTCCAGCCACTCAGTGCTATCCTTGGTTCCCCACCAGGTCTCCCCTCCCCGGGAAGCTTGCAAACCCAGATGATGAAAGCGGACACTAGATGATGCCACACGGGCCATCCCTCCAGCCTGCTGGCTCTGTAGTGAGTGGGGACACTCCCAGAGGGAGCTTGCTGCAAGGCCTCAGGCCTCACAGGGAACAGGCCATTAGGAAGTTGGTTCTGGTGGGGGAAGCAGCCTGACAGCATCTCAGGATGGGGCTGCCCTGGGTGGGCTGCTATCTGCACAGACAAGGTCCAGAGCACAAATAACAATGGTCTCAACTTCATTGTCCATTCCCTGGACTCCTGGCCCTGGACTTAACCAAACCAGCACCCAAGCAGGTGAAGTGAATGAGTGTCAGTCCAGCTGGGGTTCCTTGGCCCCAAGAGTGGAAAGTGGGCAGAGAAAAGGGTGGTTTCCTTGGAGCATGTGCTGAGGCCCTACACTAGCCCCCAGGCCCACCTCCCCCGGCCTGTTGGGTGCTTGGAGAAAATGTTAAGAGCACATGAATGTGGCCACAAACAGGTGTGACTTTGGCAGCCTGTCTTTAGCTGGGTGTCTTTGCAGCAACTTCTACGCAAGGTTGCTCCAAGGCTTCCAACCGCAGTGCCCACTGCCGGGGCAGGGGCCTTGCCAGCTTCCTGTAGACCAACAACTTTGAACACGCAGGGCTTCCAGACTTCCCCTGGACATTTGCATCCCGGGCTAAGGCCTCTGTCCCCAGGGTGCTTGTCAATTCAGAAGGAGAGGAGTGGCCTACAACTGGCAATACTGAACATCTTGCTTTTATAGGCTGTGGGTCCCCAAGCAAATAATTGGAAAACAAATGAGGCCAGGCTGTATTTTGTACTGCAACTTGGAGAAGTGAGTCATGACAATTATCAGAGGAAGGGAGGGAAGGAGGCCAGGGAAGGAGCCATCTCTAAAGCCAGCTTTATTATGACCACCAGGTGGCACGGGGCAGGAGGGAGTGATACCCACCCAGGGTCACATTGAACCTAGAACTTCAGCCTACGCACTGGCAGTGATGGGTACAGAGGTCTAGAGCCCAGAGAAGACAGAGATACACAAAAGATGGGCCTTCCTGGCTTCCCAGCCAGCCTCAGTGCGGTGGGTGGGCACAGCTCACTCTGAAAAGACAAAGGCAGAATGTGGGCTGGGCGGTGGCAGCAGAGCCTGGGGTTTTCTCCCCTCCCAGCCCATCTCCAGGGCTCCCCTGCAAACTCTTACAATCATACACTCCAAGTGAGGCCCTTGGCAATCACCTTAAAACACATGATGGTCACTGGGTGCCAGGCCACCTGGCTGATGGCAGGATGACCCTAAAATTCTTCCCTGCCCAGTAGAAGAGTGAGGTCTTCCTTGTTACTCCCTAGCCTGCCCTGCCCACCCCCTCCCTGCCCCTCCAATGTACCTGCTGTCACAGGTCGTCTTCACTGGTTTGTCTGGGGAGGGCAAAAGAAAAGACAAGTAAGAGAGCAGGGGGAGAGGTAAGTGCTGGGGACCCTCCATCCCAGAAGCAGAGACAAACTCCTTGGCCTGCCCCGTCCTTTCCCCAGCTCCGCCCACCTCATCAGTAACCCCAGCAGACTCACCTGTGCTTCCTATTGCCCCCACAGCGGAATCTTTTGCCTTGAAAAGAGAAAAGGAGGTTTGTCACATCAACCTCTCATTTTCCAAGGACACCCTTGAAGACTCACCTGCTCCAGTTTCTCCTCCCTCCTTCCTGCCAGAATCACCATGGAAGACACATTTGATCGTCTCTCTCTTTACATAGGGCCTGACCATCAGTGTTCAAGAGCCTAATTTAGTCAGTCAACGAACATTTCCTGCAGCAGATCTGTGGTGGATTCTGAGTACATTGACGGCAGCAAGGAGACTGGACCATTGTGGTGCCCCCAGCACAGTGTCGGCCATACAGTAGCTGCTCAGTAAACACTTGGAGCAGGAGGGCAGTTAAGTCCAAAGCTGAGGTCCATCTGCCTCAGCCACTCCCCACACAGCCCTTGAGAAACTCAGGACAAGCAAATCTGGAGGCTGGCTGGACCTACAGCACGAAGCCCTCAGATGCAGGGGCAGAGCCTACAGCTGCATTACAATCCCAGAACATGGAGGTGTCTTTGCTGCGTGATGTCTGTGGGTTTTTTTTTTTTTCCTATTTCTCTCTCTGATAGATTTCTCCAACCAGAAGAAAAAGCCAGAGGATTGATATTGGCTGTGTTTCTCTGTGTTCCTTGTGGTTACACCAAAACGAGTCAACAGCATTTATTAAGCTCCTGCTGTGTGCCCACTAGGGCTGGGAGATATAGAAGGACCCTGGTCTCCTGTAGAACACCCCGCATCTACAGGGGACCCTTCTAAAAGTCACTTTCGTGACTGCTGGCCCTCATCTTGTGAGACAGTTGGGATTATCCCTGTTTAGCAGATGAGCAAACTAAGGCTCAGAGATTTTGGGATCCCCGGTAAGTTAGCAGCAGGGACCAAGGGCCTGGCTCCCAGCCATGCTTGCTTTCCAGCAGCAGGGAGCCAGGTGCACCCGGGCTCAGCTTCACCCAGCTCTACTTCCCATGGGCTGTGGAACCTTGGGTAAGTTGCTGCGCCTCTCAGAGTGGGTCTGATTTTTCATCTGTAAAATAGTGACAGTAGTGGCATCCCCCAGTGCTGCTGAGATTTAATGGGATAACATGTAGCTCAAGCCTAAGAAAGTGCCCGGGTCAGGGCAGGTGCCCTGCTCCCTTTGCCTGGCCCTCCTCTTCCCCTTGCAGGTTCCCAGGATCAGAAGGAGCTGGCGTTCCCAACTGGGCAGCTCCTCGGTCCACTAGAGCAAGATTCACACTGTGGCCCCGGGTCCCACTGGCCTGGCATCCCACCCAGCATCCATTCCCACATCCTAGGGGGGAAGAGGGAGATACTCTTGGGGGCTCCAGGAAGCCAGTGTGTTCATAAGTGCCCCCACCCAGAGCCCCCTTCTAACATAAGAATACCCCACTTACTGAGGATGATGAGGAGCCCCACGATGAAGGCCAGGCCGGCAAAGATCAGGCCCCCATTTCGGACAGTCTCATAGTCTCGGGGAAAAGAGGGCAAAAGAAGTGGGCTGGGGGGTCCCTCTTGGCAGCCCTCCCCAGCAGTAGCCCGTGATAACTAGGGAAGGCGAGGGGTACATTGCGTGGGCCCAGGGCTGGGGGGTTGGGGAGGGGCAGGAGAGCTCAGGAAGGGAGGGGAGGGCCCCTGCAGGCTTACCATAGTAGAATGGGTCTGCCTCCCCCTTGGGGCTGCCACCTGCGGAGAGAACCAGAGGTGGGATGAGGGAAGGTCACAGATGGTGGGCCAGGCAGGAACAGCTGGGATTCCTAGTCCTTCCCTTGCCAGCAGACCCCAGGTGTGCCAGTAGGTAAGGGCAGCTGCTGGGACTGCTGGAACTGCTACTGGTGGGAGCATCTGCCCTTGGCTGCTTCAGACACTTCCCTGGGGACCAAACGCTGAGCATCCAAATCCAGGGTCAATGCTGTCTGGGAGTCCTTGAAGCTTTGGGACGGGTCAGTTCTCTCCTGCTCCTCCCTTCACAGTAAGAAAAGCCCAAGCAAGACACTTCCTGTTAGGTTCGCGGGCAGTGCTTTCGCTTTCGTAGAACTAATCAGCTACAGGTGCTTAGCCAAGACTTGTGGAATGAATGAATGAATAAAATAGACCCTTAAAGTTCACTGAACAGAAGTTGGAAAACAAGGCCCAGTTTGGAGACTTAAGTCCTAATGGAAGTTGGAGGCAGAAGTGGGTCTTGACTTGAGTTTCCAGACTTTGCTTTCCTATGTTACCAGCCTCAAGAGGAAGCAAATTTATTTAAGAAACAATATATAGGCTGGGCGCCTATAGCTCAACCAGCTAAGGCACCAGCCACGTACACCTAAGGTGGCGGGTTCGAATCCCCAGCCCGGACCCGCCAAACAACAATGACGGCTGCAACCAAAAAATGGCCGGGTGTTGTGGCGGGCGCCTGTGGTCCCAGCTACTTGGGAGGCTGAGGCAGGAGACTCGCTTGAGCCCAGGAGTTGGAGGTTGCTGTGAGCTGTAATGCCACGGCACTCTGCCCAGGGGGACAGCTTGAGGCTCTGTCTCAAGGAAAAAAAAAAAAAAAGTCATCAAAAAAAAAAAACAACCAATATATAGTGCTTACCAAGGGCCAGGTTAAAGCTAACAAAACATTGACTCATTTAACCATTATAAAAACTCTATGAGGCATTAGTATCATTCCTATGTAATCCACAGTAAGATAGAGGCACAGAGAGGTCACTAACTCACCCACAGTTGCATGATAATTAAGGCATAGAGCTGGGATTTGAAGCCAGGCAGCAGGTGGCTAAGAATCTAGATGCTTAAGCCCTATGCTCTACTGCTGCTCCGATAGTGGGAAGGAAGGAGACCATTCAAGTCAAGGTCATCTGGTCATCTAGTCTTGCCCCTGCCTCCTATGGTCTACTGCTCAGCACCCAGCAGATCTCACAGTTGGGTCCTCCCACCCTGGAGCTGAGTACGCATGCCTGTGGACAGCTGGAAGGTGGCCCGGCCAGGGCTTTTCTGCCACAGCTGAGGGCTGCCCTTCTTTCCTGCCCTGTTTGAGCCCCTTCTTGGTACCAAGGAAATAATGCCCAAGGCCAAAGGAATGTGCAAGTTGGCACCTCCTGAGCTGTGCTGAACTGTGCCCCTGGTGAGAGGCCTCAGATCCCAGTGGGCCTGGCTGTCCCCTGCTAATCCTGAGGCCAGGAGAGAACAGACCAGGAGGGGTCAGTATCTGGTCCTGAAGGCCTTGAAGTGCTGGTTGCTCAGGAAAGCCAGAGGCCGAGGGCAGGAAAGGCCCCCGTCCCGATGCAGAAGGCCTTCGAGGTTGTCTTCCCAGATTCAGTTCAGTTCTTCTTTAAGGTCACATGGGTATGTAGTGTCAGAGCCATGGGTAGACCCAGGCCAGGATGCCCTCAGCACCCCAGGAAACCGCCTGCTCCCTGACCACCTTGTTTAAGCCATTTGATGAGCCCTTACCCCCTACCCCCTACTCCTTTTCTAGATCTGGCTCAAATCCCACCTCAGCGAGCAGGGGCCCATTGGCCTGCAGGCCTGAGTCATTCCCCAACACAGGATGCCTTTTGGAAGTATATGCTGGACCCCAAATCTAGCATGGAAAGGATCTGCTGCTCCTTTAGCCAGACAGACTTCCTCTCTCCTGCTCTGAGCTCAGATTGTCTAGTGAGGCACACTAACCAGGGCAGGTGTGCACCAGAAAGTCAAAAACAGGCTTGGCTGGCGCCTGTAGGTCAGTGGTTAGGGCGCCAACCACATGCAGCAGGGCTGATGGGTTCAAACCCAGTCTGGGCCTGCTAAAAACAACAATGAGAACAAGAACAACAAAATAGCCGGGTGTTGTGGTGGGCACCTGTAGTCCCAGCTACTTGGGAGGCTGAGGCAAGAGAATTGCTTAAGCCCAAGAGTTTGAGGTTGCTGTGAGCTGTGACATCACAGCACTCTACAGAGAGTAACAAACTGAGACTCTGTCCTCCTACCCCCAAAAAGGTCAAGAACAGAAGCTGAGTCCACCACTTTGACCTGCAGCTGCAGCCCGCCTGCTGCCATAGCCCACCTCCTGCCATTTGGCTGTATTTCTCCAGGGTTAAGGCAAGGGCAAATTTTGAGGTGCAAATTTTCTTAGAGAGGAGGCTGGCACATGGAGGGAGCTGGGTATTCTGGAAGGCAGAGGTGGCAGTGGAGGGGAGGGGAGGGTCCCGCTCACCTCTCTAAAGGCAGCCACGCTGCCTTGAACACACACACGCACGCACTTACCATCGTCTGTAAACGACACTGTCATTGCCTCAGCCACCTGCCCTCTTCCTGCTGTCTCTGCTTTGGGGAGACTGTCTAGCTGTGGGGTGGCCAAGGACGAGCTGGGGGCATTAAACATTAACAGTACCTGGTAATATTTACCCTGGTCACAAGAAAAGCCACAGTGTGAACCGAGGGGCTCCCACCGAGGCATGAGGAGGTGTGCGGGGAGGCAGGGGAAGGGAGGAGCTGGCTGAGTCTTCAAACCCTCCCAAAGGAAATTTCCAGAGAGAAGGGCTGGGATGGGTCAACAGCGGTATTCTTCCACCAGCTGGGGAAGCCACAGCTGGGGCCACGAGAATGAGAAAGTGGAAGTTTCTAAATACATTCAGCGGATATTGTACTTGGGAGCGCAGGTGGGCAGTGCCAGGGTTCTCTAGAGGCCTCCAGCCCCAGCCATGCCCAGCACTGCCCCGGCGGATGCCACTGCTACAGCTGACATTTCTTTCCTTGCACTTGATGCCCGAGATGCCTCCCCGAGGTGGTCCTGAGGAGCCGGCCCAGGCCCCGTCCTGCCCACTCAAGCCCACCAGTGTATTTGTCCTCCCTGTCCCGGCTACCCAGGAGGGGCCTTGCCTGTGTTATGTTGTTCATCCTTCCAGGTGACCCTCGAAGGTCACACTTCGGTCAGAAGGACTCCAGCCATCCCAGACTAACCTCTCTTTCTCTACCACCCCTGGCACCTCCTCCTACAACCATTTGGCCCATTCTCGGCTCGAGTTCTTTCCGTGCCAGGGGCACTGTAGGCTCCTGAAGGAGCAAGACTCATCATAGGGGGAAGGCTCTGCTTCTGTGGTTTACAAAGCACTTTCCTCACTGTTATCCCCTTGAGCTTTACAATAGTTCCAGTTTATACACATAGGTGATGTCTGTGGGGCACAGAGAGGTAGAGGACCTTGCCCAAGGTCACATAGTCAGTAAGGGGTAAGGTGCAGACTGAGGTCAGGCTTTTGGCTTCAGGAGTCAGGTACCTCCCCCCGCCTCTCAGAAGGCCTCCCACTCTACCTTGACCTCCTTCACCTTGGGGACTCTGGTGCCAGGTACTCCATGGCTATGGCAGAATCCTCTTTGAACTCTAATCCATTGACTTGGGCTCCAGAAGAGGCTGATGCCCAACAGTAGCCAAAGGGTAAAGGCCAGTGTCCAGTGCCCACTAGGGGTAGTTTAGCCCTTCCAGAGGGAATCACTTCATCTATGCATCCTCCTCAAGGAGTGGCAGAGATCAACATCTGAGGCCACACCCTGGCTCCTTCACTCACTAATCCTATGGCTTCTATCCGTTACTTAACCTCTCTCTGTCTCAATCTCCTCATCTGTAAAATGGGCACAGCACCTACCTCCTAGGGCTGCTGTCAGGAGTGAGATCACATAAGGAGAATAGCAGGGGACCTGGTACACAGCAAGCATCATTTTTGTTACCGTCACATTTGTATCGGTGGGAGAAATAACAGGCATTCGCCTTTTGTTGAACATTAGCTGTCGAATACAGAAAAGACATCCACCCTCTGATGAAAATAAGTGCAAATGAGTGAAATGGAGGGAGAGAATGGGGTGACCCTGCGATGCCAGTTCAGCACCCTCCTGCTTCTGAAGATATTACAGCAGAGCTAACACTGGGTAAGGGTGGCCCGTAGGCCAGGCTCTTTGTGTGCACTGCCCCACTTAATCCTTCTTAGCTCCATTTTACAGATAGGGAAACAGAGGCTGATTATTTGCTTCCCATAACAACCCCAAGAAGTGGCTGGGACAGTGCCATAATTCCCACTGGGCACACCAGAAAAAATTGAAGACAGGGAGGTGAGTTATGCCTAAAACACATAATAAATAGCAAATCAGAGCTGGGAAGCCCAGATTCTCAGGGATGTGCTGCTAAGTCTCCTGCCGCTCTCTATACCAGACAGTGGTCCTCACTTTGCAACAGTAGTTTGTCTATTTTTCTTTCTTTCCTTTTTTTTTTTTTTGAGACAGAGTCTCACTTTGTCACCCTCGGTAGAGTGTCGTGGCGTCACAGCTCATAGCAACCTCAAACTCTTGGGCTTAAGCAATTCTCTTGCCTCAGCCTTCCAAGTAGCTGGGACTACAGGTGCCCGCTACAATGCTCATCTATTTTTTGTTGCATTGGTCATTGTTGTTTAGCTGGCCCAGGCTGGGTTCGAACTCGCCAGCCTGTGTATGTGGCCAGCACCCTGACCACTGAGCTGAGGGCACCGAGCCATAGTTTGTCTATCTCTACAAGCCACCAGACATTCTTTCTGGAGTAATAAGGTGTAAAATAGGCAGGAAGTTAGATGACTGGTAGATAGGGATGAGATGATAGATCAATCAATAGATAGATGGCGAGGCAGGAGGTGATGGAGAAAGCAAGTTGACAACCGCATTTTTGAACTTTGTATGCAAGGCATCGTTCCAAGCACTTTATAGAAATTAACTCCTTTGTCATCAAAGTGGCTTTATAAGGTAAGGAATGCATTATCGTCAGCCCTATTTGGTACATGAAGAAACTGAGCCACAGAGAAGTTAGGAAGCTAGAAAGTGGGGGCACCAAGATGTGAAGCCAGAAGCCTGGCTTCTGAGTTGCTGCAGCCACATGGAGGGACAGCCAGGCAGGAGGCCATTAGACAGGCCATTAGACAGGCCATCTTTCCAGCTCTTGCGGCTCAGTGGTGCCCTGCACGCCTGCCGCCCTGGGCTGGCATGCCTTGACTGGAAATTCTGCCTCTCCTCATCTCTGTTTTCCCTGCACTGCTGAGGAGCTGGTGGGGCTGCTTGAAAGGGCCAGGATTGACCCCTGTGTCAGAGCCTGAGTAGGGGAGGCACGGGGTTCAGAGGACTCACCGAGGTACCACCTGTCCATGGCCGGAGCTGCTGGCTGTGTCTGCGAGTGTGAGAGAGCTGTGGAGTCCCACTTGCCCAAGGTCTGGACAGAAAGAGTGGCACTCCCTCCCTCCACACGTCAGCTGAGCCCGTGGACAGGAAGAGACAGCCAGGGAGGAGGGGCTGGCAAGGGAGTCCTTACCTTGTACCCAGCTGCTGGGGCGGGTTGGGGCGAGGGATCCACGTGAGAACCCGGGGAGATTCTCTGACCTCTGCTTGGCCCCGGGGGAAGAGTGAGATGCAGTGAGGCAGACCACAGCCCCCACTCAGGCCAGCAAGGATGTGATGCTGCAGCCAGCACCCTGCAGGCAGCCCAGGGTGCCAGGAGCCATGGGGGCATGGCCAAGCCAGAGGAATCAGAATCCCCACTCTGTACAAGGCCCCTGGGCAGGCAGCACCCAAGGGAGACACGGGGGGCATTTGTGCGTCCCTCGAGCTTTACTCACCTGCATCTTCATCCTCCAGCCCCCCCCGGCCTTTGCCCAAGATATCCTGCCCCAAGGCCCTACTCTGTAGCAAGGAGTCCCCCGAGGGGGGACAGAGTAGCAGCAGGCTCTTGGTGGCTGCCCTGGTCTGGGGGGCGGGGGGGGGGAGGGTTGTTGTTTTCAGCTTCCTGCGACTTTCTGGCAGTTGGTGGAGAGATGGGGAGCAGCTATGGAGCTGGGACAGGGGCTGGGAGGTGCTCCTATGGCCTGCCCTTTCCTCAGTGGGGACCCCTCACTTAGCCCCCAGGGACTCATGCCAGCTCTGACGTCAGCCCTGCCCACCGCACCTGAGAAGACTCATCCGAGACACCTAATGAGGCCTCTGAGGGCTGCAGGTTGGTGGCAGAGGGAATGGCCGGAAGACAGCCCTTCCAGTCCCAGGGCAGGATGGAGCCAGGAGCCAGAGGGCAACCTCAGAGCAGCCCACCCTGCTGGCCTGGCAGCGCCTCTGTTCCCAGCCAGCAAGGCCTCTGAGGGGCCAGGGCAAGCAAGCTCTGGGTAGCTGATTTGAGGTCAGGTTCCTGGGCCACCCTGGCGCAGCCAACCCTACCCCAACACTGAGCAGCAGAGACTAGGAGGGGCCCGGTCACTCTGACAACTGGCTTCTCTGTCCCTCCTTAGCAACGCCACCCAAGGGAGGACTACTGATGCCCCCGGGGAGTCTCCTTGGGGCTGAAAATGCTCTGAAAATGGAAACTGGGAGGCCTAGAAGGGCCTTATCAGGACGGGCAGAGATCTCCTCTGGGCCCCTGTCTCCATCCTTTCCCACTCAGCCAGAGGCAGGACAAACCTGCTGGGTAAGCAGGCCGGGCCACGTGCTACCAAGGGGACACCTGTCCACGCAGACAGCCCAGAGCCACCAAGAAGAAATTCCCCAATCTGGGCACTTTGAGAGGTCAGTGAATCTGAGTGAGATGGGACTCTAGAGGTGTCCTGGCCTAAACATATTATCGGTGGGCCAGAAAAGAGATCTCAGCTGGAAGTCCCTGCCCCATGCCCGCTCTGCATTCATCCCCCACCTGGCCCCCATGCTATGAAGGAAAGCCTTGCAGTCCCAGAAACCTCACGCTACAGGCAGGTGAACTGGAGAGGGATCCCAGGCCCGGCCATCCAAACCCTTCGCTTTACTAACGGTTCGCTCTCCTGCTCAAAACCCTCGAGGGGCTCAGAATATAAACCCACATCCTTTCTGTGCCCTAAAAAGCCCTTCTTAATCTCTGGCTCCAGTGACCTCTGAACTTGTCTCCAACTACCCTGCCCTGTTCTTCACTCCAGCCATGCTGTGCCCCTCACCCTCCAGCGCACACCGCTGCCTCAGGACCTTTGCACGGGTAGTCCCCTCTTCCCGAGTACTCAGAGAGCTTCATAGACCCAACTCAGAAGACCCTTCTCAGCATCCCTGTCTAAAGAGCTTACCGCCACCCTTCTCAGCTTTCTCTGCTCTCTGTGGCACTTACTCTTCACCTAAGGTGTTATTCTCCTCGTCTTGATCATCTCCCTTTCAACTAGAGTTCAAGCTCCAGGACAGCAAGGATTCTGTTTGTTCATTCCTAAATCCCTGGTGCCTAAAATGGCACGAAGCAGACTCCCAGTTCTATCAAATAAACGAACCAGCCCCAGAGAGGTGAAATCTT